CAGGGGCGTCCTGTGGTCCAGAGTGACGCCACTATGGCACCAGGGGCGTCCTGTGGTCCAGAGTGACGCCACTATGACACCAGGGGCGTCCTGTGGTCCAGAGTGACGCCACTATGGCACCAGGGGCGTCCTGTGGTCCAGAGTGACGCCACTATGACACCAGGGGCGTCCTGTGGTCCAGAGTGACGCCACTATGACACCAGGGGCGTCCTGTGGTCCAGAGTGACGCCACTATGGCACCAGGGGCGTCCTGTGGTCCAGAGTGACGCCACTATGACACCAGGGGCGTCCTGTGGTCCAGAGTGACGCCACTATGGCACCAGGGGCGTCCTGTGGTCCAGAGTGACGCCACTATGACACCAGGGGCGTCCTGTGGTCCAGAGTGACGCCACTATGGCACCAGGGGCGTCCTGTGGTCCAGAGTGACGCCACTATGACACCAGGGGCGTCCTGTGGTCCAGAGTGACGCCACTATGGCACCAGGGGCGTCCTGTGGTCCAGAGTGACGCCACTATGACACCAGGGGCGTCCTGGGGTCCAGAGTGACGCCACTACAACCCCAGGGGCGTCCTGGGGTCCAGAGGGACGCTACCATAACCCCAGGGGCGTCCTGGGGTCCAGAGTGACGCCACTACAACCCCAGGGGCGTTCTGGGGTCCAGAGGGACGCCACTATGCCACCAGGGGCGTCCTGGGGTCCAGAAGGACGCCACCATAACCCCAGGGGCGTCCTGAGGTCCAGAAGGACGCCAACATAACCCTAGGGGCGTCTTGGGGTCCAGAGGGACACCACCATAACCCCAGGGGCGTCCTGGGGTCCAGAGGGACGCCACCATAACCCCAGGGGCGTCCTGGGGTCCAGAGGGACGCCACCATAACCCCAGGGGCGTCGTGGGGTCCAGAGTGACGCCACCACAACCCCAGGGGCGTCCAGGGGTCCAGAGGGACGCTACCATAACCCCAGGGGCGCCCTGGGGTCCAGAGGGACGCCACTATGCCACCAGGGGCGTTCTAGGGTCCAGAGGGACGCCACCATAACCCTAGGGGCGTCCTGTAAACAAGAGCATCACCATTAAATGTAAACTATATATATATATATATATATATATATATATATATATATATATATATATATATATATATATATATATATATATATATATATATATATATATATATATGTCTGTCATTAAAAAAGACAATGTAATATTTATTTTTAAATCTGGGGTTGAGAGCCAATGTGAGTTTGTTGTACTTAGTTAATTAGTAGTGATATGAGGGTGGCGATAAGAGCATTATCAAATGTTTGGGAAATAGTTCCTCCCTGATGGAGTCCGGACAGTGATAGAACTAATTGGCCAACCTTTTTTTCTTTTCACTCAGCTTATGCTATTGGTATACGAGTGAACTCACCCAGGTGTACTCAACCAGGTGTACTCACCCAGGTGTACTCACCCAGGTGTACTCACCCAGGTGTACTCACCCAGGTGAACTGACATAGTTTGACTCATCTAGTTAAACTTACATAGTTGTGCTTAGCTAGTTGTACTCACCTAGTTGTATTTATCAAGATGTACTCACATGAAAATTCATCTGCTATTCGTCAAACCAATTTACTGAGGTGATGAAAGTCGGCTTATAATTTCTGTCGCTCTATTGGTGTAAATGTTGACTGTCATTATCACTATCGTCATGATAAGGATGATAATGACTGTGTAACGGACCCAGACTGACACCTGTGCTGACCAGACCACACACTAGAAGGTGAAGGGACGACGACGTTTCGGTCCGTCCTGGACCATTCTCAAGTCGATAAAGATACAACAGGAGCATTGAATCGACTTGAGAATGGTCCAGGACGGACCGAAACGTCGTCGTCCCTTCACCTTCTAGTGTGTGGTCTGGTCAACATACTTTAGCCACGTTATTGTGACTCATCGCCTGACACCTGTGCTCTCTGTGTCACAGACTCGACTCTAAATGACCTCAACGTCACTTACTCTGTCTTAACTGGTTGTTAGTGAACGGTGATGTTGTTAACCGTTGTATCCTGTTGTAACTTTAACAACCAGTGTTGCCTCGTGACCTTGGTGGCTGATCACCAAGGTCACGGACACTAGGAAACACTTACTACAAGTGGTTACAACAGCAAACACTTACTACAAGTGGTTACAACAGCAAACACTTACTGCAAGTGGTTACAACAGCAAACACTTACTACAAGTGGTTACAACAGCAAACACTTACTACAAGTGGTTACAACAGCAAACACTTACTACAAGTGGTTACAACAGCAAACACTTACTACAAGTGGTTACAACAACAAACACTTACTACAAGTGGTTACAACAGCAAACACTTACTACAAGTGGTTACAACAGCAAACACTTACTACAAGTGGTTACAACAGCAAACACTTACTACAAGTGGTTACAACAACAAACACTTACTACAAGTGGTTACAACAGCAAACACTTACTACAAGTAATTACAACACTTACCAAGCCTGGGGTATACCCAAGCTTCTTCAAGAGACATTAAGGCTACCACCACCTTCCCTAATACCCAAGTAATTGAGCTAACTTGACTAATTGTTAATCGCAGCATAAATCAAGAGTGTGGATTACAAGTAAATGGAAAAGAGGAATAGAGTTTAGGGTAAGTGCGGCTTAACTCAGATAAGGGTAGAATATGTACCACATGAAGCTGTTTAGTGGCACCACAGGCACACTTACCACACAATAACACAGGATCGTCGACTCAGAAGTAATTCAAAATTCAAAATTCAAATGTTTATTTAGGTAAAGTACATACATACAAGGGGTGATACAGATATTAATGAATTTATAGATAGAGCTAGTACATACAATGCCTAAAGCCACTATTACACAAAGCGTTTCGGGCAGGGAAACTGGGATAATAACTGGGGAATATTGGCTAGACACAATAAATTAATTGAATTCGTTTATTGACACAAAAGTATGACATGTACACACAGAAATGACAATAACGTGATATATCTCAAATGATCAAATCCACAAGGGCCGTGATGAGGGTTCGAACCTACGCACGGGATGTTCCCAGAAGCGCCTTAGTCAACTGTGCCACGACATGGTTAAAATAATTGCAACCTGGAGTGCTACTGCCCTCACTAGGATCAACAAGCTTCTACGAAGCCTAATCGGGGTTTCACACAATTCCTAGTTGGAGCAGTAGCACTCAAGGTTGCAATTATTTTGACCATGTCTTGGTACAGTTGACTAAGGCGCTTCATACCAATTTTGGTATGATCAACGCTTTCCATGTGACCATATGGCAATAATAGTAATAATACACAGAGAGTAATCACAGTAACGGGATGCATCAGTGAGAAGATCCGTAGGAGCCGTTATGAGGGTTCGAACCTTTTTTTTTTAGTTTTGGCCCGAGGGGCGAGTTTATTGGGCAGCGCCACTCATCTTGTGAGTGGACACATCGTCATAGTGACAGTATTGGGCAGCGCTACTCATCCTGTGAGTGGACACACCGCCATAGTGACAGTATTGGGAAGCGCCACTCATCCTATGAGTGGACACACCGCCATAGTGACAGTATTGGGCAGCGCCACTCATCCTGTGAGTGGACACACCGCCATAGTGACAGTATTGGGCAGCGCCACTCATCCTATGAGTGGACACACCGCCATAGTGACAGTATTGGGCAGCGCCACTCATCCTGTGAGTGGACACACCGTCATAGCAGCATGTACAACACTCCCCAATAGGAAGAAATCTCGCTGGGTTGTTCATCCTGTCACTTGTACCCAGACGCAGCTGGGACTTGCTTAACTGTCTCAAGTGAACAGCTCCTCAAATAAGATGATTAACATCTGTCAACCCTAAAAAATCTTACGTTATCTTGCGGGGTGCAAAATGGGGGAATCGTTTAAGAACAGTATTAATATTTGACAAATAGTGTTTTCCTAACTCAAACAATGTGGGGTTTATTATTCTACACATACTTCTAATGTCTCTCAGGTGTTCACATTATCTCAGGTAGTGGTCAAGGCGGTGTCCGTCACTCTCACCACAGATTCTGCAACTCCGCTGCTCAACTGTTGTTTCCATCCCAATATCTCCATGGATAATTGTATCCAAGACGGATTCTTGCTATTACTGATACTCTTCCGCGGTCACCTCCTCTTCGTCCATAATGACTGGGACTGCCAGCTGCAATCATTGTACCAGCGTACAGATTCACTGGTTTGTTCTTCTTTCCTCCTTTCCTCAGTAACCTTGTCACGGTGATATTGCCTGACAATACCTCTAATTTGTAGAAGAGTCTTGGGTATGAAGTATTCAATGTGGTCTCCTTCAGCAGCCAGCACATCTGCTCGTTCATTTCCACATAACCTATGCGCTGGATGTTCTCTGTCCTAGATGACAGAGCCAAAGAACATGGGGGTATTGTGTGACATTCTGGTTCGGTTTCAGTGGAAGCCTCAGGAATCCTCAAGGGTGCAGTAGTACCCCAGGTTGCAACCCTTTTACCATGTCGTGGCCTGGTTGTCTGGAGCGTGTGCCTGGGAACACGCAGCGAATAGATTCGAACCCTCATCACGGCTCCTACGGATTTTCTAATAGCAAGAAGTATATTAATAATTCGTAGTATAGTCATAATGGTATAGCGGGATTTTTCGAAGGAGTAACTTTGCCAAGTGTCACGTGACATTCATGTCTTTCATGCCAATCCCAACCCACCCATGTTGAGCACGAACCCAACAGCAGTTGCTGGGAAAAGTTAGATGGAGCAAGCCCCATGCGTCTGGCCTTCTCCCGTGAACAAAACATTTCCATTTAGAGATATAGATATATACACAAGAAGACACAATGGGATATTTCATGACATATCTGTATATATATATAATTGGAACATTGTGGCCAAGTCACTAACACAGGACAACAGGTATAAGGGAGTCGTAGCAGCGGCACAAGATGGCAGCCATCTTGGGGGCTGGTGAGGCAAGGTTAAATGGCATTGATGCCGGCCACTATGCCGGCCCAGGTCTCCTCCCCCGTGGGCAGGATCTGGTCCTCCGGGAGGAGGAAGCCGTACTCGCCCTGGTCCCGCAGCTCCACGCCGTACGTGTACGGCACCTTGGCGGTGTCGTACACCCAGTCTATACTGCCGCCCGCCGCCATGTCTGCCGCACATATACATCATTATTAGTAGTATTATTATTATTATTATTATTATTATTATTATTATTATTATTATTATTATTATTATTATTATTATTATTATTATTATTATTATTATTATTATTATTATTCACACTCATTAACCTCTAAGTTTACTCTTAAATGCTGCTATGTATTTTGTGTTCACGCATTTAATCAAGATTTTTGAGTTAAGAAGATTATCTTAAAGTTGTAAATAAGTTCAATTTGAACTATTATGAATTCGAGTGAAAGTTCTATCAGTCTAACAAGTGAATAATGCTCTAACAAGTCAGGGAGAGTGAGGGGAGCCAAGTGAGAGGTCAACACGTCAGGGAGAGTGAGGGGAGCCAAGTGAGAGGTCAACACGTCAGGGAGAGTGAGGGGAGCCAAGTGAGACGTCAACTAGTCAGGGAGAGTGAGGGGAGCCAAGTGAGACGTCAACTAGTCAGGGAGAGTGAGGGGTGCCAAGTGAGAGGTCAACTAGTCAGGGAGAGTGAGGGGAGCCAAGTGAGACGTCAACTAGTCAGGGAGAGTGAGGGGAGCCAAGTGAGACGTCAACTAGTCAGGGAGAGTGAGGGGTGCCAAGTGAGAGGTCAACTAGTCAGGGAGAGTGAGGGGTGCCAAGTGAGAGGTCAACTAGTCAGGGAGAGTGAGGGGTGCCAAGTGAGACGTCAACTAGTCAGGGAGAGTGAGGGGTGCCAAGTGAGACGTCAACTAGTCAGGGAGAGTGAGGGGTGCCAAGTGAGAGGTCAACTAGTCAGGGAGAGTGAGGGGTGCCAAGTGAGAGGTCAACTAGTCAGGGAGAGTGAGGGGTGCCAAGTGAGAGGTCAACTAGTCAGGGAGAGTGAGGGGTGCCAAGTGAGACGTCAACTAGTCAGGGAGAGTGAGGGGTGCCAAGTGAGAAGTCAACTAGTCAGGGAGAGTGAGGGGTGCCAAGTGAGAGGTCAACTAGTCAGGGAGAGTGAGGGGTGCCAAGTGAGAGGTCAACTAGTCAGGGAGAGTGAGGGGTGCCAAGTGAGAGGTCAACACGTCAGGGAGAGTGAGGGGTGCCAAGTGAGAGGTCAACACGTCAGGGAGAGTGAGGGGTGCCAAGTGAGAGGTCAACACGTCAGGGAGAGTGAGGGGTGCCAAGTGAGAGTGACAACTTACAGATAATATCAGCAATGTTGCCATACTGATACTGGGTGCCATGGACGGCCTCCAGGGCCCGCACGCTCACCTCAGCCACACGGACCTGAGCCAAACACGTCACACATTACATTAATGACACTATGTAAAAGACACATCGAACACTTTATGTAGGGCATACGTAAATCTGTGTATCTATGTATTTACGTATGTAGGTTAGCTTAGCATTTTAAAAGCACCAAATCACCTTCTGTGGTTGATTGTTCAATAATCCCTTGAACTATATGTTTAACACTTCTCTAACCCTGTCCACGGAGGACAGAAGAAAATGTATATATGCTGGTTAGCATTGTAAATGTGTGGCCACGTCTGTGGTAGAAAATAATAATAATAATAAAAAATCTCAAACTGTTTATGCATTTATAGTGTTCTATGTATGGTATTTTTGTATGTATGTATGTATGTATGTATGTATGTATGTATGTATGTATGTATGTATGTATGTATGTATGTATGTATGTATGTATGTATGTATTAACTATATAGTCGGGTGCAGATCACCAGCCAACTTCCACAGTGGTTGATAATTAAACTGTTGATATATGAACAGGTTCACTTAAATAAATACAGCTTTACACATCGAAATATTCGGGACAGTTTAAAGTGTAATGAATTATAAAAGACATAAGCAAGTGAACGAGCACACTAAATAGCTTTAAAAACAATGAACTTGTGAATCTGGACTCGACATCGTACAGTAATTATATAGTCTCTCCATATTTCTCAACATTATGACAGAACACATTCTTGAAGAAGTAAGTTAAAAGTTAAAGATATAGACTGTAGGACATTAAGTTTATGGTGGTAACTAGGAGAGTGATGTTGTGACCTGTTCGTCATAGTTGGCGGGCAGGTCGGTGGTGTAGCCGTAGGGTGTCATCCACAGTTGGGCGTACGAGTGGAGACTGTAGAACATGGCGACGTCGTCCAGAGCCAAGACGGCGTCCCGCACCGCCGCCGACTCCCTCTCCGAGAACGCTGACGGGCCTGCACACATCGTACCAACGGTCTTTAGTCCCACCTCCATTGATTTTTTCATTAATTATACTAACTAACCCCGCGCGCGGTAGGTTGGTTAATGGTTTACTTTTGAGGTATTTCATTGATATAATACTGCAAAGTATTTGTGGTGGTGAAGGCATCACTGACCGTGGTATAAATCAGAACATGGGATGTCAGAGGTGCCGGCGCCCCCAAAGTCAGAATCAAAGTTGCGGTTACAGTCGACGCCCTTACAGAGGGTGTGGGGCGAGCGGTTCTTGCGCCACAGTCGGTCCTGGCAGGTGGAACACACACACACACTCTTACAATCACATTTTACACCCGTAATAAATATTGATTTAAAGCTCATGCTGCCTTTTTCCAGATGAATTTCCTTTAAAACTGTGATGCGCAGTAACTCGGGGAATGTGGGAGATGGCGCCTCAAACACTTGATATTAAAGGGAAAACTTTGAGACTTGATACAAGATGTTTAATATTAGGATAACCTTTGCGACGTAATAAGCTTACGTTTAATACCTGCACTTACATGAACTTGATATATGTATTAATAAATGGAACTTTTATTATGAGAGAATATAGCAAGACTATGACGGTACTGTAGAACACTGTCTGGGGAGGGTGTCTGGGGGGGGGGGAGTGTCTGGGAAGCCACCACCACATATGTCAGAACCAGTCCACAAATTGTTTCTCGTGGACGTGAAACCATATGTGAATGCATCGGTTTTACTTTAGATTGCAATACCAGATTACATATTCCCAAACCACTATTTTAACCAATATTGCCATGAACTAGTATGAAGGTGAAGGAAAGACTCAATAAACGTGTAAGTGTAATAAAAACAAAATTTCGGATGTAACCTACTGGTCCTTTCTCAAGGTGTTGTATATGTAAGGTTCTGGCAGCACAACATTATATACACCACCTTGAGAAAGGACGTACCTAGGTTACATCCGAAATTTTGGCTTTTATTACACTTACACATATATTGGGTCATTCCTTCACCATCGTTCAAGCACTACGGTATGGTGGTAGTACACCACTACAAACACAAACAAACACTAGTAAGTTTGTCTAGGTACAAACACTAATAAGTTTGTCCATAAACCACTATGATAACAAATATTACCATAAACAACTATCTTCATATTGCCACCAACTGTGGTAACTAATATTAGCGTACAAGTGGGAGAGCTCACTTCATTCCAGGTGTAATTATAGCCGTCGGGGTTGGCGCAGGGCATAATATGGAAGTCGTAAGTGTCGAGGAGGTCGGTGACCTGACCATCACTGCCGTACCCAGAGGTCAGCTGGTCCAGGATGTACTGGCAGGTGGCTGAACTAATCCACTCCCGCGCGTGGATCCCACAATCAATCCATATCACTGGCTTGGGCTCTCCGCTGGAAACCTAACATAACCAAACTTTATCACATATTCTGATTAATAAATAGATAAGACATACATGTAATGGGAAATAATTCATATGAATTTTTGTTGGTATACCTTTGCGACGCGAATATCTCTTCCCTCATACGTGGTGCCAGCAGTGTAGAGAGACACGAGGTGTGGGAAGGCTGCCACAGCGCCGTCCAGGATGGAGTAGATCTGTGTGCGGACAAGAGGTGATGCTGGTCAACACGCCGCTCCTCTCCTCCTACACAATGTTATTAAGCCAAACCCGAAATAGACGAGGTAACAAACGCTGACAGCGTTACTACTATTGTTATTGACCCCTGAGTCATCCTCCCCCTGAGCCCTAACTCCGCCCCCTTGTAACACTGTAAAGGTGTTTGGTTTAGTTGTATTTAAAATACATAGAGATACATGAGTCACAGACAAGGATTTGACAGGCGCCATTCTGGCAGCCTGAATCTCACACCTCTAAGAGTTAATGACCACCAAGTGACCTGAGGTCACCCATGAGAATTTCACCCTGCCTCTGCTAATCTTATAATTGGCCTTCAAACATGCCGACGTTTAAGGAGTGGCTTGGTAGAGAGCCGGAGGCTATCTACTTGTGGGCGGAGTTAGCTACTAGGTTTCCCAATATATACTTGGAGAACTATCGATTCGAGAGCATTAACAAGATAGACCAGGCAGCAGAGCAGAGGAGGACAACAGCCGAGACAGGCTGTCGGTTGGACGGGGGTGACGCTGCCTGACAGCTGCAGACTCCCCCCCCCCTCTATCCAGCTATAGGCAGACACTTGGTGAGTTGAGCATTATGGTGACTTGGTCGTGTTTACATATGTTGTGTGATGATCAGGGGCAGTCAGTTGTAGGGTTCTCAAATTCTTGGATGATGACTCACTTTGCATATTTCTTGAACATTTGAATTGCTTAAAGTATGATACTTCATATGAAATATAATTATGAATTTATTATTTTAAATTGTCTTTAACTTTGTTCCCTAGAGCTTTGAGTTGAGGTGAGAAAGCCTCTGTGATTACTGGTTTCATGATATTAATGAGTACATGTTTGGAGTTGATATATGGTAATAACATCTTTTGAGAATATTGTGATACAGACAAGTTCCATTCCTTGTCTTGTATGTAATGGTCTTGAATGGATGGTGGCAGCATTTCTTCTTCTACTATCTACTTCTGCTATCTACTTTTCTACTTCTACCTATCTACTCCTCTCCTTCCACCCCTCTCTAAACTCTCACTTTCAACTAATGACCCTCCTCGCTCCTCCCACCTCTCTACCTTTCACCCCAAACCCTCACTAATTACTTCACTATTCATTCCTTTCCTTTCGTTTTCTCTTATACGTTTGTGGCAGTGAAATGTATTCTAGAGTTCTCTCTAGGGTTTCGGGTAGCTGATCAAGTTATGGCGCCTTGTAGTCGCTGCACCTAGGTAGTCGAATACCTAGGTTACAAGGTGTTGAACGAGAGAGGTTGCTGTAGGAACTCTGGGAGTGCTCTAGAATAGTTAGCTAACTGGGGACGGGATAACGGACTAGAGAGAGCTGTTTCCCCCGGCCTCGTTAGTTAACTGGGGGGTGGAATAATGGACAAAAGAGAGCCATTTCCTCCCACCCACACGTTACAATGATGGCAGCGGTGTTGAACAATGTTTAATGTAAAAGGTGTTAGTTTAACATTGTTCAGTCCCATGTGTCCTTTTGCCACTCAGGCGCTATCAGGGAAATCTTGACAGGTGTTTAATATTCGCGTTTTAGCGAGTTTTTTTCAGGTTAGGAGATAGTGATTCTCTGGTGTTGTGGTTTAGTGATTTTGTGAGTTTTGTGGTGTTCAGGGAAGGTTCACCAGAACTTGCGTGTGTAGTGATTTATGTTAGTGATAATTTTGGCGATTTGGGAACTTAGCGGTTGGTGGTAGTGCAGGTCAGCTGAGTGTGACAGGTGACCACACATGTCCCAGGGGGACACCCAGCCTCCACTGGTTGCCAGGTCAGTTGGGGAGTGGCAGGTGTAGAAGTAGTATTATGTGGTGGTTCTGCTCAGATTATTGCGATCGACTGTTTTACTCCATTTGATTGCAATAACCCGAGGTGTACTGGTATTGTACAGCATACTAGGGGGAGGCTTAGTATGTCAGTAGACTTCACGTTGAGGACGCTCGACGTTAGATAGTCTGGTCACAGGGGTGGCAAAAGTTTGGAGTTGTGGACCCGCGGAGAAGCGAGGGAAACACTCTGGGTCACGTAGGTGGCTGTAGGTTAAGGGTGGGAGTAACGGTTAATTAAGTACTTAAGATTAAGAACGGTACAGTTAAGTTAGGCTAGTGGTTGGTCTATTAGTATTGATATTTTTTTTGTGGAGATTCATTTAGTGACAAGTTAAAAGTAGTGACGATCTTATTCTCTCTTCTCTAACTTTACTCTGTTACTGTTTTATGTTCCACCAAGTCAGTATCGTTCAATGTTAATTGGATTATTAAAATTTAAGTGTAGTCGTTGCCAGGAGGAGGGCATTATGATTAGACTGTGTGAACCCTATACAAACTACAGGGTCACACAACAGGTTGGAACATGGGTATTGTTGCCTTTATGTTCATTCCCAGGTCGGAGCCAGAGGCGAGGCGCACATACAGAAGAGGGAGACGGCTGCCTTATACCACACTCATGGCAGCTTCTCACTACCACCACGACGACCAGCCCACTACCTGGATGTCATGGCTCCACCACCACCACCCCGGGGGACCCCAAGATGCAGCCCTCTCGGTCGGTTAAAATGATCTACCCAGTGGACCCCAGGACGAACGGACAGATTCCAGTGGACCCCAGGACAGACGGACCCCAGTGGACCCCAAGATGGATGGACCCCCAGTGGACCCCAGGTCGTTCTGCAGACGACCCAGTAAAGATGGAAGAGGAACAACAACGACTCCAGTCTGTCCCACCAACATCGGTCTACCCAGGATGGACCCCAGGATGGACAGACCCCATTGGACCCCAGGTCGCTTGTCAAAAGACCCATGGGAGGAGAAAGAGAAGAAAGAAGAGGAGAAGATAGGACCAAGCTGAGTGAGACACGATGCCTAGTGTCCCTTGCTGGTGTCAGCATCATTGCATGGAGCGTAATTGCAAGACAGGATCGTTTGCCTTAACTGGCCGCCCCTCCTGCAAGCATGTTGCTCTGTTGAGTGATTCTTCCTGTGTCGTGCGGACTTGATGTGGCTGTCAGAAGTAGCTCTCTGAAGGAGGCGTGCTGGAGCAACAGGGAGGAAAGAAGTAGGATGGGATTTCTACGGTGGCAACTATATGAAGGTCTCGAAACTTGTAGTCCCTATAGCTGTGAAGAACCCCAATATACGTCTCTCATGGTGACTGACGTAGGGCCAATTACAGATCAGCTGGGACAACCGAATTCCACAGTCCTGTGCGCAGTGCAAGAAGTAACGGCTTCCTGGTTGGCCAAGGGTTGTTGTGCATTAACGACGGAGAAGCGAAGGAGGCAGTTGTGTTGAAGAAATGTGGTACAGGACTATCTACAAGACCAAGCAGTGATGTCACCCAGCCAGAGACAATGGACGTCTGTCTACATATTTCATTTTTTTAGAGTAGGATGATGTATATTTGTTTAGCTAGGATGTATTTTTTTTCGTTAATAAAGTTGTCGCACACAGCTAGCTTGCTTTAGCAGTGTTGCAAAAACTTTATTTCGGGGAGAAGGGGAGATGTAACACTGTAAAGGTGTTTGGTTTAGTTGTATTTAAAATACATAAAGATACATGAGTCACAGACAAGGATTTGACAGGCGCCATTCTGGCAGCCTGAATCTCACACCTCTAAGAGTTAATGACCACCAAGTGACCTGAGGTCACCCATGAGAATTTCACCTTCCCTCTGCTAATCTGATAATTGGCCTTCAAACATGCCGACGTTTAAGGAGTGGCTTGGTAGAGAGCCGGAGGCTATCTACTTGTGGGCGGAGTTAGCTACTAGGTTTCCCAATATATACTTGGAGAACTATCGATTCGAGAGCATTAACAAGATAGACCAGGCAGCAGAGCAGAGGAGGACAACAGCCGAGACAGGCTGTCGGTTGGACGGGGGTGACGCTGCCTGACAGCTGCAGACTCCCCCTACCCCTCTATCCAGCTATAGGCAGACACTTGGTGAGTTGAGCATTATGGTGACTTGGTCGTGTTTACATATGTTGTGTGATGATCAGGGGCAGTCAGTTGTAGGGTTCTCAAATTCTTGGATGATGACTCACTTTGCATATTTCTTGAACATTTGAATTGCTTAAAGTATGATACTTCATATGAAATATAATTATGAATTTATTATTTTAAATTGTCTTTAACTTTGTTCCCTAGAGCTTTGAGTTGAGGTGAGAAAGCCTCTGTGATTACTGGTTTCATGATATTAATGAGTACATGTTTGGAGTTGATATATGGTAATAACATCTTTTAAGAATATTGTGATACAGACAAGTTCCATTCCTTGTCTTGTATGTAATGGTCTTGAATGGATGGTGGCAGCATTTCTTCTTCTACTATCTACTCATCTACTTCTGCTATCTACTTTTCTACTTCTACCTATCTACTCCTCTCCTTCCACCCCTCTCTAAACTCTCACTTTCAACTAATGACCCTCCTCGCTCCTCCCACCTCTCTACCTCTCACCCCAAACCCTCACTAATTACTTCACTATTCATTTCTTTCCTTTCGTTTTCTCTTATACGTTTGTGGCAGTGAAATGTATTCTAGAGTTCTCTCTAGGGTTTCGGGTAGCTGATCAAGTTATGGCGCCTTGTAGTCGCTGCACCTAGGTAGTCGAATACCTAGGTTACAAGGTGTTGAACGAGAGAGGTTGCCGTAGGAACTCTGGGAGTGCTCTAGAATAGTTAGCTAACTGGGGACGGGATAACGGACTAGAGAGAGCTGTTTCCCCCGGGACTCATTGGTTAACTGGGGGTTGGAATAATGGACAAGAGAGAGCTATTTCCTGAGCCCTAACTCATCCCCCTGAGCCCTAACTCATCCCCCTGAGCCCTAACTCCTCCCCCCTGAGCCCTAACTCATCCCCCTGAGCCTTAACTCCTCCCCCTGAGCCCTAACTCATCCCCCTGAGCCCTAACTCCTCCCCCTGAGCCCTAACTCCTCCCCCTGAGCCCTAACTCATCCCCCTGAGCCCTAACTTATCCCCGTGACCCTGGTTGAAGGTGTACCTCGCCAAGATTGTGGTAGACGGTGTGGTCAAATGTGCCAGGGAGAGTGGACCTCCTCTTGTGGCCAGGACCCTGCTGCTCAATCAGCCTGTAGTACACCATTCATTAAATCATGCAATTATTGTACATTTTCTTGCTTATATAATTGTTAGACAAGACAACAATTTATCATTTAACTAGCATTAGACAATGAAACTGAAGCTTGTGGAGACTTACTGCTGGACGTCGTTGATCTTAACAGTGACGTGGATGTGTTGTTGGCTGAGAGCGGCGAGGAACCTCTTGGTCAACTTAGGGGGGAGGAGGAGGTCGACGGGCGACCCCAGGCCCCGAGACGACGACCACTGGTCCAGCTCCCAACCACTCACCAACTGTTGCACCGTCCACGACTCATGGTGGGTCTTGGGCCACACACTCACTACCTTGTACCTGTGTATTAACATATCAGTTTGATCCATTAATTTAGCCATGGTTAATGAGGTATGGAAACAGGAAAGCTGAGAAAATACTGGAGCAGAATGGAACGCTAAAGATAAACAATAATCCTGACTTTGAGTCAGGATTATTAATTAATTAATCAGGACAATAATACGGGATGTTGAGCCCCGAAATCAACGCAAGGTAACCGCAAGGTAACCGCACGGTAACCGCACGGTAACCGCAAGGTAACCGCACGGTAACCGCAAGGTAACTGCAAGGTAACCGCACGGTAACCGTAAGGTAACCGCACGGTAACCGTAAGGTAACCGCACGGTAACCGTAAGGTAACCGCACGGTAACCGCAAGGTAACCGCACGGTAACCGTAAGGTAACCGCAAGGTAACCGCACGGTAGGTGTTATACTCAAATTCTGTCAGTTGAAATGTAACCAATCACAGGCAAGTAGGCCTCTGACGTCATGCCAGACAGAGGAGCATCAAGCCATGCTCCCGGCAGCCTCAGTTATCCTCACAGACTCAGAGTAGAAGGACCTCGGCTAGGCAGATATATACCTTGCTATCTCAGTCAATAAATATATACAGAAGCGACTACTGTGTCTACATTCTACCCGAACAAGGCAAACGAATATAACCGCAAGGTAACCGCACGGTAACCGCAAGGTACGGGACGGACATAGGCTGGTCGTGGTAGGCCTAGGTTAAATGCTCTGAGAAATATTAGTAATTATAAACATCCCCGTGCTATTTACAGTCAGGTTTGAAATATATAATGCATTTTCCCTGACGTTTTTAATTTTATGAGCGACCTATACAGTTGTTTCAGTGTGTCTTAATAATTTTGTTGAGAAAATAATTTTTTGAGAGAAGGGAGAGGGTGATGGGGGCGAGGGGTCATGGGGGTAGATATAGAGAGGTATATAAATACGTTATTGCTTACCTATCCTAAATCCCAGGGGTCAGATTCACAAAGGAGTTACGCAAGTACTTACGAACGTGTACATCTTTTCTCAATCTTTGACAGCTTTGTTTACAATTATTAGACAGTTAATGAGCTCCGAAGCACCAGAAGGCTGTTTATAACAATAACAACAGTTGATTTGGAAGTTTTCGTGCTTGTAAACTGTTTAATAAATGTAAACAAAGCCGCCAAAGATGGAGAAAAGATGTACACGTTCGTAAGTACTTGCGTAACTGCTTCGTGAATCTGGCCCCTGGAAGGGTTTTCCCTTGCTGAACACATTAAACTTAACTAATTTTACATCACCAATCAAAAGCTAATTGAGAATTTGTTGCCGAAGTTAATAAATGAGCGTAAATTGTCAATTAGAAATGTTGGCGAGTTAGAAATCTATATAAATAAAAATGGAAATGTTCGTTTGTTCAAAATCGCTAATCTCCGGTATTCTTCACCGATTTGCTTTGAAATTTTCTGATTTGGATTGTTTCAAGCGTAGGTTAGACGTAGGTTAGCTGGCTGGTGGTGGCTTACCCATGGTAGGAGGTGGCGGCGGAGGCGAGGACAGCCAACCCCAGCACCAGGACAACACTAAGTCTCATCGCGGCTCGCACCATCAACATAATGAGTTAGCCACGGTGACGACCAACATTATATGAGCAGGAAGGGAGGGGGGGGAGGAGGGAGAGGGAGAGAGGGGAGGGAGAGGGAGAGGGAGAGAGGGGAGGGAGAGGGAGAGGGAGAGGGAGAGGGCGGGGGGGGGGCGGAAGTATCTCCACGAAAATCGCTTTACAGATAACCTCTCGGGTCCCGGGTCGACTCCTCAGTACTCAGTACTTACGACTCATTCCTGATTGATTGGGGACTTTGTTAGTCTTTGGGAGAGTCCATTAGTCCATTAGCCCAGCACTGACTTCGTCTGTCGATTGATTGATTCATGAAGATTAAGCCACCCAAGAGGTGGCACGGGCATGAATAACCCGTAACAACAGACTGCATCTGTTTCATGTTGTTTTAGATTCAACTACTGGCAATCAAAAGTTCCAAGTAGCACGGGCTATGGTGAGCCCGTAGTGGACTTACCTGGCACAGGAGAGGGGCTGTAACCAAAGGTACGATGGATTTTTAGACACATGCACCAGGGCCAGCACACATGCACCAGGACCAGCACACATGCACCAGGACCAGCACACATGCACCAGGACCAGCACACATGCACCAGGGCCAGCACACATGCACCAGGACCAGCACACATGCACCAGGACCAGCACACATGCACCAGGACCATCACACATGCACCAGGGCCAGCACACATGCACCAGGGCCAGCACACATGCACCAGGACCAGCACACATGCACCAGGACCAGCACACATGCACCAGGACCATCACACATGCACCAGGGCCAGCACACATGCACCAGGGCCAGCACACATGCACCAGGACCAGCACACATGCACCAGGACCAGCACACATGCACCAGGGCCAGCACACATGCACCAGGACCATCACACATGCACCAGGGCCAGCACACATGCACCAGGACCATCACACATGCACCAGGACCAGCACACATGCACCAGGGCCAGCACACATGCACCAGGACCATCACACATGCACCAGGACCAGCACACATGCACCAGGGCCAGCACACATGCACCAGGGCCAGCACACATGCACCAGGGCCAGCACACATGCACCAGGACCATCACACATGCACCAGGACCAGCACACATGCACCAGGGCCAGCACACATGCACCAGGGCCAGCACACATGCACCAGGACCAGCACACATGCACCAGGGCCAGCACACATGCACCAGGACCAGCACACATGCACCAGGGCCAGCACACATGCACCAGGGCCAGCACACATGCACCAGGGCCAGCACACATGCACCAGGGCCAGCACACATGCACCAGGACCAGCACACATGCACCAGGGCCAGCACACATGCACCAGGACCAGCACAGATGCACATTTGAGTACCGGTGAGTACTGACTACTCTGCCACAACTCGTCCACTGGCTCTGCTTGTCCAAGCTGCACCCGATCCCAAACACAATGAGAGTTGAGCTCTACATGACAGTTGAGAGGCGGGACCAAAGAGCCAGAGCTCAACCCCCACAAACACAACTAGGTGAGTACAATTTTTTGTAATTTTTAAGTTATTATCTAATCAAAACCTATGCTTTATTGAATAAAAATGAGAAATGTTGATTATTATAATTGTGTAAATAGTTATGCCTAGGTTAGGTTAGGTTAGGTTAGGTTAGGTTAGGTTAGGTGTTTGGGTTTTGTTGAAATTTATTTGTATTTGCAATACAAATACAATATTTGTATTTGCTCGATTCCATCGAAGGAAAGCGTTCTATGACATGTGTGAGGGTGAAGGTTCTCTGGGGCCCGCTGTTCTCTGCAATGTGGATAACATGTTGCAATTTACAAGTGTTGGCGCCAAAATACTAATATTATCCGTCTTGGGAATAACACAACAGAGAGGTGCGTGTGTTGAGAGGAAAGTAGCAGCCAACCAGGTCGACTAGTAAACAAGGTGGCAAAACCCAGCTATAGTGACCTTAGAGAGAACTGGGTTATCCTGGTGGGGCAGGTGGGACGACTCTCACACATGATGATGTGCACCACCAGCTGGTGATGATGAGGCTGGCACACCACCCCAAACCTGGCTCCTCACTCTCCCCCCTCCCTGCCCTCTCTCACGCTCTCACCCCGCCCCCTCTCATGTTTCCCTCCACCCCCCCTCTCCTTACACTCTCCTTCACCCCTCTATGTGCTGAACATTTCCTCTTCAAATTTGTATGGGAAAATGGTCTGGGTTACGAGGTGGACATAGGCTGGTCAGGGTAGGCCTAGTTTACGAATTATTTCAGATTTAAATAATTATTCACAATTCCAGTTAAAGAGTTCACAATATGTCCCTGAGCCCATTATGTGCCTCTGTAACCCTTTCCACTTCCGCCCACAAGATGGGTATGGGGTGCATAATAAATGAACTAAACTAACTACAGGTGTTCCCAAAGCACAACACAAGCAAGTACATACTCCATGTTTATTGTCTATCCATGACAAGCTCCTCCGACACCACCCACAAGAATATGACAAGTGAAAATAATGGGCACTAGCTCAGCCGGTGGCTAGGTAGCTAGGTAAACACACACACACACACACACACACACACACACACACACACACACACACACACACACACACACACACACACACACACACACACACACAGTAAGTGTGGACTAGTGGGCCGGTGGCCGAGCGGACAGAACACTGGTCGCGTGATCCTGGGTTCGATCCTGGGTTCAATCCCGGGCGCCGGCGAGAAACAAGGGGTAGAGTTTCTTTCACCCTGATGCCCCTGTTACCTAGCAGTAAATAGGTACCTGGGAGTTAGTCAGCTGTCACGGGCTGCTTCCTGGGGGTGGAGGCCTGGTCGAGGACCGGGCCGCGGGGACACTAAGTCCGGAAATCATCTCAAGGTAACCTGACTAGCACAATGTGAAAATAATAGGCGCCAGCACAGTGTGAAAATAATAGGCGCCAGCACAGTGTGAAAATAATAGGCGCCAGCACAGTGTGAAAATAATAGGCGCCAGCACAGTGTGAAATTCTCAACAATAAAATTGTCGACACAATTGGCCACGAAACATCACAAAACACGTCTAGCTCAATTTTCCACGGTATGACAAAAGGCATTTTATTTCACCCTGATACCTCTAAAATGACCTTCCTAAACAAGTGGCAGTAGGAAATGAAGCCGAAAAAGTGTACCCTCGTGGTGATGATTTGTTTTTGAATTAAAACATTTAGGTACATCAGCATTTATGCAACTAATACACCCAGCGTTTCGGGCAAGAAGAGAAGAGAATCTGTCCAAGAAGAGTTCCAGAACAGGGTTTTGTAAATGTAATTAGCACAAGAGAATGTGTGGAGTGAGGTTATGTTTAGCATGTCATGGTAAAATCTCTAGGAAGAGATTCGGCCTGCTCCATCTTCACCTAGTTTACCCATATTACGTCTATATATTCAATTACTACAGCAACAACAACTACTTCCAGACGTCTAGACAATACCACCAGTCTACCTACACCACGGCCCGTCACCCTCCTCGCACCTGGCGAGGCCCGGGAGCTCATGCCACCCGAAACAAGCAGTTTAAGAGCCGGTTAATAGTTAAAGAAGTCACCAGCGCCATGGCATGTGCCCGGCCATCATTGTGTATATATAGAGCTGCCTAGCCCACTAGGCGTTAGATTACTCCTGCGTGCTCAACTAAATAGACCCGTTAACACATCTTGGTGTGGTACCGGATTTAGTCAGCCTGGCTCACAGTATTCCTGCACCATATTTTATTTTGCACATTAACGTAAATGTGATTGTTCATCTTGTTTGTTTTGCACACTTTATATTAGAGCCAAGCCAGGATATTGTTTTGTAATTTGTTTAAAGTAAGACTCCTATTAAAGTTAAGTATTTTTAAATTTTTGGTCTGTATGTTTTCTCCTACAGTTAACCTCACAGTGAAGACAACTTGCAATTTACTTTTTTTTTCTTACTATTTTATGACTGGCATTCCATCTGCCTAGCGACTGCGTGAACACCTACTTTTTCCGTCACAATGTTTAGAGATTTAGACAGTGGGGCTGAGTGTTGTCTGAAAGCAGAGCTTGTTATTGTTTTGATAGCAGATTTTTGCTGGGTAATCTATTGCTATTCTATTTCTCTTCATTCATAAATGTTTCTGAACTCATTAGCTTTAAGAGTTGCCGCATTGAGCTTCTTATTTTTAACCAATTTATTTTGCCCATTATGGCCGCAACGCTCTGAGTGTTTATGGCTTGAGGCATTGTACTTGTCTTACCCAGGACTCCTACACTGTTCTTGTATCCTATGTATGTACATATGTACGTTTGTCTTAATAGGTTATTATATTATTATTATTATTATTATTATTATTATTATTATTATTATTATTATTATTATAAACATGAGCAGGCTGATTAATTTCATCGAGACCTTTACAATACTAAATAAATTGGAGTACTGTATATAAATCTAGACCACTTCTTTAATAGATAAAATTTCTTTTGCGATGGGTTAAATTCAGATAATAATCCACGAACAAACCTGTTACTTGTTTGGAAATAATCCAAACAGTCCCTGTGGCGAAGTGGTAGGACACTCGCCTGGCGTTTCGCGAGCGCTCGGTCCTGGGTTCGTATCCTGGCCGGGGAGGATATACTGGGCGTCAATCCTTAGCTGTAGCCTCTGTTTACCAAACATTAAAATGTGTACTTGGTTGTTAAACGATTTGGTGGGTCGTATTCCAGGGAACATAGGTTTAAGGACCTGCCCGGCTACTGGCTGTACAAGAATGTAACAACTCTTGTATATATAAATACAAAATAAACAAATAAGGAACAAATAATTCCTGCCCGAAACGCTGCGCGTACTAGTGGCTTTACTAGATTGTAAATACTACTCTATGTATTCTCACAAACCCAATGTACCCTCTTGTATATAAATAAATAAATAAATAAACTAATATATCACACTATATATAAGGCTCCCTTCTACAGAGGTTTGTTTTCTTT